GAGATGTCATGTCTGAGGGCAATGTGTGGTGTGAATATAATGCAGAGAATTCGTAGTTTGGAAGTTAGGAGGAGGTGCGGGATTACCAAAACTGTTGTCCAGAGGGCTGAGGAAGGGTTGTTGAGGTGGTTCGGACATGTAGAGAGAATGGAGCGAAACAGAATGACTTCAAGAGTGTATCAGTCTGTAGTGGAAGGAAGGCGGGGTAGGGGTCGGCCTAGGAAGGGTTGGAGGGAGGGTGTAAAGGAGGTTTTGTGTGCGAGGGGCTTGGACTTCCAGCAGGCATGCGTGAGCGTGTTTGATAGGAGTGAATGGAGACAAATGGTTTTTAATACTTGACGTGCTGTTGGAGTGTGAGCAAAGTAACATTTATGAAGGGATTCAGGGAAACCGGCAGGCCGGACTTGAGTCCTGGAGATGGGAAGTACAGTGCCTGCACTCTGAAGGAGGGGTGTTAATGTTGCAGTTTAAAAACTGTAGTGTAAAGCACCCTTCTGGCAAGACAGTGATGGAGTGAATGATGGTGAAAGTTTTTCTTTTTTGGGCCACCCTGCCTTGGTGGGAATCGGCCGGTGTGATAATAAAAAAAATAAAATCTTACTGCGGCTTTTTGTTGGGTTATTATTGGCTTTAGGTGTGTTGCTGCAGTTGAACCCCAAGCACAGATAGCATAGGTGAGGTATGGATATATAAGTGAATGGTATAGTGTGAGAAGGGCAGTTTGCGGCACGTAGTATCGTATCTTGGAGAGGATCCCAATCGTTTTGGATACTTTTTTGGTTATGTGTTGGATATGGGTGCTGAAGTTCAGGTTGTTGTCGAGGTATAGGCCTAGGAATTTGCCCTCATTATGCCTGGTAATTAGAGTGTTGTCGATCTTAATGTTAATTTGCGCATCTCCTGCTCTGCTACCAAACATAATGTAGTAGGTTTTGTCAACGTTAAGCGTAAGTTTATTGGCTGTCAACCAAGTCGATATTTTGATCAGCTCCTCAATAACAATGGTGTTGAGGGTTGCAAGATTAGGGTGAGAGATGACACAAGTCATGTCGTCAGCAAAGAGAATGGGGTTCAGGTGTCGAGATACGTTTGGAAGATCATTGATGTATATGAGGAAGAGCAGGGGACCAAGGACACTTCCCTGTGGAACTCCAGTATCAAGTGGCTGTGTTGTTGATGCTGTGTCTTTAATGGTGACATACTGATACCTATTAGTAAGGTAAGATTTGAAATATGCAAGCGCATGGTTAATCATAGAATTGATGAGGGAAAAAAGTTGAGTGGTGCATTGAGGTATATGTGGAGTCAAAAAACGTTATCTATGGAGGCAAAGAAGGGAATGTATGAAAGTATAGTAGTACCAACACTCTTATATGGATGTGAAGCTTGGGTGGTAAATGCAGCAGCGAGGAGACGGTTGGAGGCAGTGGAGATGTCCTGTCTAAGGGCAATGTGTGGTGTAAATATTATGCAGAAAATTCGGAGTGTGGAAATTAGGAAAAGGTGTGGAGTTAATGAAAGTATTAGTCAGAGGGCAGAAGAGGGGTTGTTGAGGTGGTGTGGTCATTTAGAGAGAATGGATCAAAGTAGAATGACATGGAAAGCATTTAAATCTATAGGGGAAGGAAGGCGGGGTAGGGGTCGTCCTCGAAAAGGTTGGAGAGAGGGGGTAAAGGAGGTTTTGTGGGCGAGGGGCTTGGACTTCCAGCAAGCGTACGTGAGTGTGTTAGATAGGAGTGAATGGAGATGAATGGTACTTGGGACCTGACGATCTGTTGGAGTGTGAGCAGGGTAATACTTAGTGAAGGGATTCAGGGAAACCGGTTATTTTCATATAGTCGGACTTGAGTCCTGGAAATGGGAAGTACAATGCCTGCACTTTGAAAGAGGGGTTTGGGATATTGGCAGTTTGGAGGAATATGTTGTGTACTTTATACGTATATGCTTCTAAACTGTTGTATTCTGAGTACCTCTGCAAAAACAGTGATAATGTGTGAGTGTGGTGAAAGTGTTGAATGATGATGAAAGTATTTTCTTTTTGGGGATTTTCTTTCTTTTTTTTGGGCACCCTGCCTCGGTGGGAGATGGCCGACTTGTTAAAAAAAAAAAAAAAAAAAAAAAAAACTTTTGTTAGGTAGGATGTAACATTCATATATTATTATTATGTGCTCATAGTTCAAGTTTTGATTGTCTAACTACTGTAATTATCGCTTGTGGCTCATTACCTTTTGTCGGCTTCTGTGTTTGCTGGTCAGCAACTGTCCACGGAGCTATCCCCGTGATCGAGGGGGGGGTGTTCACACCTCGCCTGAAGTAGTCAGGTCTGGGCTAGACTCTCTTGGTGGTTTTACGTATTCCTGGCAAGGCGTGCCTAACTCTCCCTTATTGGCCCTTGTTGGAAGATTGTCTCTGTCTCATTATTGTTGTAGGTTCTGTAGAACTATTCACGAACATTGTCTAGACTTAGGATTTCGACGTTGTACTGAAGTTGTGTGTCGCATAGACACTCTGAGCAACTCAGGTCCTGAGCTGTAGCTTCTGACCTAATTTGTACTGGTATCTGTGTACTGACACAGTCAGGGATTTTCTTATGCTGAACTTAGATTCAGTAGTATGGGAGTTTTGTGACTTTTGTGGAGGATCTGCTGATGGTCCCTACTTAGTGGTGTTATATTATCTCCTTGATCCTGATTCTGTGTTGCTGTTGCTTGTTACATTGTTGTTCGGCTTAGCAGTCGTTTTATTGTTCAAGCAAGCTGTTTCGATTGCCAGGTGGTCAAGAAGTTGGTTTTTAAAGGTGAGGACTTTGTCAGTCACTGGTTTAAGTCTAGTCGAGTCGTGAGACATAGCGAACTTTCTTAGAGCACTTACACACATACACACAAACTTATTTTTATATTGTATTATTAAATGTTAATGTACCAGACGGTATTAAGACATAAATATGTGATATGTGCTTTCAGCACAATACACTGTACACGAGAGAAGTGATTATTTAATTTGTTTTGAATTGTTAATTTAATTTAATTTGATAATATATTCTCTAGACTGTGATTAATAAATTTATTAAATTTTAATTTCTTTTGTTGTAGCCTACCCGTTGTAATCCTGAAGCACATTATTTTTATTGAATTCTAAGGATAATTGGACCGGATACTGACTAACTGTTACAAAAAAACCCCGTAACAGGCTGGATGCTAGAAGGGCAGTCCTTTCTAGTATTCAAATGGAGATTTTCTAAGCTTTTTAGAAATCGCCGGTTTTTGTAACGTATTAGGGGCCATCCTCAACTCAAAAAATCTACCTTAGTACAGAAATATGTGTAGAAAATATGGAAACTTTCCCCCCAAACCCAAATCACAGTGGAGTCCCACAAGGAAGCGTCCTTGGCCATCCTCTTTCTCATCTAATCAATGATTCCGAATGCATAAAGGTAATAAAACCATTTTATTTGAATGAACTACATATGTCTTTTCCCCCCCAAAACAGTCAATCCCGAATTGCAGAAAATATCTGTTGGTATGAAAATAAACTTCCCTGAATATGAAAAAAACCAAAAATTCATTCATTTTGGAAATAGTGCAAATGTTTCGATTAACAAACGCTAAAGGTCATCATCAAAAGACTCACAGGGGGAAAATTCCCAGGTATCCACCTTGACAGTACCCTTAAGTTGGGACACACTACAACAAATCCCCAAAAAAATCTCCAAAAAAAGTAGGCATCTATCAAAGATTAGGTATTACGGCCCAATCGCTCTCTGGCACTGTCATTCCTCATTACCTTTTATCTTACATAGGGAAATTTTGGCAGGGGATCAACAAGCCCAATACCAAAAACCCTTAACCCAGAAAAAAGGCGCAGAAAGAATGTAACGAATTCCCCCCCCGCCAGCACCTCCCCCAAATTTTTCAAAAGTTGAATTGCTCCCCTTTAAGAACACCATACTTTTTTCATGGGGCCTACTACAAACACGAACAATAAAAAATATAAACCCTCCCCCTCAAATTCTCCTCACCAAATAAAGGAAACATGGCCACAAACAAGACCAGATTCCTTTTTTTTATATACCTGTGCCCAATTTAACCATGTAAAACTCTATGAATAAAGGGCCCTAAAATATGGAATTCATTCCAGAAAATATTAAATAAACCCAGTTGAAAAACCAGTTTTAAGGGCTCTTCTCAAAAGCCCTTAATCCCCTAGACTAATTGCTAAATACTCAGTACCACTTAAACATTATGAATCCCCATAATAACTTCAAAAATCCTTTGAACCTTTTATCCATTGTTTAAGGAATTAAATTTAACCTTGTTTTCACAAAAAAGCATTTTAGACTTAAGAATATATCCTTTGTCTTTACAAATTTTAATTTTACTTTAATTAAAAATCTACTGGTTAAACTATTTAAATAAATTTTCTTGGGCCTACTGTACAAAATATGAATAAAAACCTTAAATTTAAAAGGGATCCCGAAACCAAAAATTTTTAAATTTGGCCCCTAATTTCCCAGGCATAATAGGGGGCTCTCTTTGTATTTGGGAAACCCCCTTTTTGTAAATATTAAAAACCTTCCCAAAAGTACTGTTTGCAAAGACATAAAATAAATAAATTAAAAAAAATAAATAGGGGTTGCCAAAATGATGAAACATCTTCTACTCAAATTAATATTTTCTTTTTTAAGGAAAAACAAAATTACCCGTAAGGGTCATAAAAGCCCTTGGGAAAAAGCAAGTAGTTTAAGTCCAATCCTTGGGGAAAGAGTGAACTTTTTCTTTTGGGAAACAAAGCCTTTTTACAAGCAACAAGGTTTCTCCACTTGAAAAGGCCACCACCTTAAAATTGGGAAGACAAACCAAAAGTAGCTCCCCCTTTAGAGTCGAGCATAGGTAGGTCACAGTGGCTAAGCCCGGGAAGTTCCCGCTCCACAACTGGAAGCAAAAAGGGGGGCCCCTCAAAGAAACCCGTCGGTTGGGGGGTTGAAAAGAGATACGAACAATTCAAATCATTTTGGCCCTTGGTTTAGTGCGCTGCAAAAAGGGAAAATCAAAAAATTTAAACATAATTTTTTTAAAAATAGGATGCTAAACCCTTTTTTAAGAAGCATATTCTTGTGTTTTGGATAAGGGAAATTAAAAAGGGGGTAAAAAGGGGAAGAGAAAATTTTTGAAAAATGTTCCCCGAGTTTCATTAAGTGAAACTGTAATATGACTGAATTTGCCCAGTGTGAAACAGGAGCAAAAAATTTCACCAAAAATTTAAAAGTTTGTTTTTAAAATTATTATTTACTGATGGTTTCCCGAGGGCCTTACCTCTTAGCCCTTAAATTACCAAGGGGCCCAAGGGTTTTCTGACCCCAATTTAGTTAAAACGAGGTTTTGAGAGAAAACTGTGCCTCCCCAAATAAAAATATCCCCCATTTGGGCAGATCAAAAAAAATGACTGGAACCTTTATTCTTTTTTTAAAGAGAGCTGAACCCCTTTTTATAAAATTTTTTTTACATATTGGAAAAGGGAAGGGAAAATTTAAAAATCCCTTTAACCTCACCATTAACCCGGACATGGGTTTTAACCCCGACAGGTAACCCAAAAAGGGTTTCTGCTAGCAGACTGCAAACCCAAAAGCAATTCCCCAGCATGAGACCCCGGACTATCTTTTCCCGAAACTTGGGGGAAATTTTGTAAAGGAAAGAGGGCTTCTTAAAGTACAAACCAAAAAAGAAAGAAATCGGATCATAAAAAAGGAGTTTCCCCTTTCACCATTACCCCCCCCCCCAGCATTAAATTTTCCCAAAGGTTTTTTGGTTGTATTTTCATTTTTTTGGGCTCATTTTTATAGAATGGAAAAATTTTTTACAGAAAAAGATATTTATTTTGATTTTTTCCCCAACGAAAATTTCCTTGAAATTGCTCCCAAGTAGCAAAAAAATTTTGAATTTGGGGTTTAAAATATTTATACTTTTTTTTTCAAAAATGCAGAAGTCTGCATAAAAAGTAAATCTTTTAATTTTTGTTTGAAAAAAATTTTTCAAATTAGCATTTTAAAATGGTTTAAAAATTTTAAAAAACAATTAAAAATAAAAAAACTAAAAATTCGTATAATAATAATACACCTACCCTCCGACTTACAACCTGCTCGAAAATTTCCCCACTCATTTCTAACAACCATACTGTTTACAGCTTAGATTTAAATTAAATTTGGTTTTTTTTCTTTTATGCAACAAAAGTTTTTGATGTTTTTTATCCCACAAATGTTTTGTATGAAATTTAAAAAACTGATTTTTGTTGTTTAAAAAGCATTCCCTTTTTGGGTTTCGAAACCCTTTTGGGGGGGAACCCAAGCTCGGGTTTTTAAGTCGGACGGTAGGTGTAGTTTAATAATAATAAAATAATAAAAATAATAATTTAAAAATAAAATAATAATAATAATTTAAAATGAAAATTTTAAAAATAATTTGTATTTAAAAATTAAAAATTAAAATAATAATAATTTTAATTACACCCACCATCTATTCCCAAACCCGCTCGACATACACCATTTTTCTTAAAGCCGGTTTTTTTAAACCAAATTTCTGGGGAAAAAATCAAAAAGTTTTTGTTGTACCCCCAGTGTTTCTCCCCAAAACCCTTTCGTATTTAAAATCCCCACTAAAAAAGCTTAAAAAAAGTAAAATTAAAAAAAGAAAATTCTAAAATAAAAAAATAAAAAAAGTCATTTTCAAAAAAAAGTATGTTGATATTCGTATAAAGTTTTGATTAAAATCCCTTTTTGAGTGGTTGGTCGGAAACCCAAAATCGGTCGGAAATCAGATGGTACCTGTAATAACAAAAAACAAATAAAAATATAATAAAAATAACAATTGCCTGCACTTTAAAGGAGGGGTTTTGGGGAAAATGGCGTTTTTGGGGGGTTTTTTTGTGTATCTTTATTGTGGGATGCTTCTAGATTTTTTTTAAATTCTGAAAACCTCTGCAAAAAAAGTGATAATGTGCGAGTGTGGTGAAAGTGTTGAATGATGATGAAGGTATTTTCTTTTTGGGGATTTTCTTTCTTTTTTTGGGTCACCCTGCCTCGGTGGGAGACGGCCGACTTGTTGAGAGAAAAAAAAATATGTATAATATAAATACAGTGGACTCCCTGTTATTGGCCGCTTCTGTTATCGGACAACTCGGTGATTAGCTGGTTTTTCGGCACCCTGTTATAAGCCGTTAATTCGATGACCAGCCGTTTGGGACGCGTCCGTCCGCCGGATGGGGTCGCTTGCGTGTCAGTTTGGCTGTGTCTTTCGGTGTGTGAGGAAGCTTCTGCTCTTACAACCAAACATTTCACTTGTTTTCCAATGTTTTATGAGGGTTTTTTGCAGTGCAACTGCGAAATAAGTGACCTTGGCTCCACAGAAACTTACTAGTAAAGTTCCTGTGGCAAAGGAAGTCAGACACACCACGGAATATAAGAATGAAGTGTAGCAGGCATGCAGGGAGTGTAGCATGCATGCAGAGAGTGTAGCAGGCATGCAGGGAGTGTAGCATACATGCAGGGAGTGTAGCATGCATGCAGGGAGTGTAGCATACATGCAGGGAGTGTAGCATACATGCAGAGAGAGTAGCAGGCATGCAGGGAGTGTAGCATGCATGCAGGGAGTGTAGCATGCATGCAGGGAGTGTAGCATGCATGCAGGGAGTGTCACAGGCATGCAGGGAGTGTAGCAGGCATGCAGGGAGTGTAGCATGCAAGCAGGGGGTGTAGCATGCATGCAGGGTGTAGCTAGCAGGGAGGGGGTGGGGGGTTTTGGCCCTCGGAGGTAGCAGGCATGCAGGGAGTGTAGCAGGGATGCCCGGGGGAAAACCCAAAATGGCCCCCCCGGGGGTTTACATGCCTTTCAGGGGTTTGCATGCATGCAGGGAATGTACATACATGCAGGGATGTAGCCCTACATGCAGGGCTGTTTCAGGGATGCAGAGAAATGAAAACATCATCAGGGGGTGTACATGCCTTCAGAGAGTGTAGCACATGCAAAAAATGTAGTAGCATGCCCGGGAGTTAGCATACAAAGCAGGAGTGTACATGCAAACAGAGATTTTAACAAACATCAAGGAGTGGTTTCAAACATGCAGGAGTGTAGCATTCAGGGAGGAGTGGGAGCAGCATGCAAGGGGTGTAGCAACATCAGGGGGTGTAGCAAGCCCTGCAGAAGTGGGACAGGCCCTGCAGGGGGTGTAGATGCCCTGCAAGAGTGTACATGCAGGGAGGAAGGGGAACATGCATGCAGAGAGTGTAGCACATGCAGGGATTTTCATGCATGCAAGAGTGTAACAGCATGAGGGGGTGTTAAACATGCAGGGAGTGTAGCCCGCAAGCAGGGGGTGCCCGCATGCATGCAAGAGTGTAGGAGCATGCAGGGGGTGTATAGCATGCAGAAGTTAGCAGGCAAGCAGGGGGTGTATCAGCTGCAGGGGGGGTACCCTGCATGCAGGGATTTAGCATGCATGCAGGGAGGGAGGACAGCATGCAAAGTGTTTGCAGGGATGCAGGGGGTGTACAAAGCATGCAGAGAGTGCACAGGCATGCAGGGAGTGTAAACATGTAAGCATGGGGTTAGCATGCTGGCCCGGAGTGAAATACATGCAAGGGGTGTAGCAGGGATGCAGAGAGTGTAGCAGCCACAGGAAATTTTGCAGGCATGCAGGGAGTGTACATGCATGCAGAAGTGTATAAGAGCCATGCAGGAAAATTTTGCAGGGTGCAGGGAGTGTACATGCTTTCCTGGGGTGTAGCATGCATGCAGGGAGTTAGCATGCCGCAGGGAGTTTTAGCAGGCCCTTTCAGGATTTTAGCAGGGATGCAGTGAGTGTAATAGGGAGCAGGGAGTGTAACAGGCATCAGGGGGTGTAACAGGCAGGAGGGAGTGTAACAACCCGCGGGAGTAAGCAGGGATGCAGGGGGGGTTTTAAAGGGAAAGCAGGGAGTGTAACCCGGGAAAGAAGCGAGTGTAACACAGCAGGAAGAGTACAGGCATGCAAAAAGGGGTTTTCAGGGACAAGGGGTGTAAAGGCATGCAGGGGGTGTGCAGGCAAAGCAGGGGTGGGAAACAGACATCCGAGAGTGGGAGCAACCCGCAAGATGTAACAGGGGCCCGGGGGTAAACATGCAGGAAAATGTTTTCAGGCATGCAGGGGTGACTGGGATGCAGGACTTAGCAGGCATGCCCGGGAGGTAAGGGGAGGCAAGAGGAAATGTAACAGCATGCAAGGGGGCTTTTCAACAAAGTAAGAAGTGTACAGGCATTTCAGAAATGTAGCAGACATGCAGGAAGTTTACAAGCATGCAGGAAGTTTTAGCGGCATGCTGGGAAATGTACCGGGGTGCAGGGAAATGTACAGGCATGCAGGGGGTTTAACAGCCCTGCAGGGGGTGTAACAGGGATGCAGGGACCCGTACCCCCATATGTAAAAAAATGTAGGCATGCGGGAAATGTACGACATCAGGGAAATTTCAACATGCAGGGGGTTTACAAGCCAACAGGAAGGTAACAGGCATGCTGGGATGTAGCAGGGATGCTGGGAGTGAGAACATGCAAGAAGTGAACAGACATGCAGGAAATTTAGCCCGACATGCTGCGAGTGTACGACATGCAAAATGTAGCAGGGACGCTGGGGGGGTTGGGAGCGACATAAGGAAATGTACAACATACAGAAGTGGGAGCAGGGATGGGTAGAGGTAGCAGGCAAAATGCAGGGAAAATGTAAACAGACATGCAGGGAAATTTTAGCGACCAAGGGATAAGTGTTTCAGACCGCAGGGAAATTGGGAGGAAATGCAAAAAAAGGGAATGTAGCAGGGAAAGCTGAAGTGGTAGCAGGCATGCAGGGAAATGGTAGCAGACATGCGGAAGTGGGAGCAGGTATGCTGGAAATGGGGCCCGCATGGCCAAATTTTAGCAACAGCAGGAAGGGGAAAGGGTGCTGGAAGTGAGCAGACATGCAGGAAAATGTAGCAAAACATCAGGGAAATGTAAACAGGGAAAGCTGG